ATGGAGGAGTTCTTGTGAGAACTAGTTCTTGTGAGAACTCCGAAGTTAAACGTGCTCGGTGTGGAGCACAACAAGGATGGGTGACCTTTTGGGAAGTCACCCTGAATTGCACCCCAAGTCGAAATCCATGCGGGTGTAGAGGCCCAAAGCGGACAGTATCTTGTCGGGAAAAGGTTCGGGATGTTACATCTTTCAGTTGTAAACCCCTTTTTGGTGAAACTCGAAGCAAAACCCTAGCGAGCTCCACAATTGGATCGCCGAGACCGAGCCAGTGACCGCGTCATCCTCGGTTCATCTACCCCGCCCACCATAAAAATTATGAAAGGCATGATTACAGGCAGTGACGTAGGCATGATTTCGTCTAAGAGGTTCACTTAGAAAAAAATACATTCATAAAATAATTTTTAGTAACTTTGCTAATCATTCATGATATAATCTTATATAGAAAATTTTGATAAATTAAAATACATTAGTAGTCGAAAATACCAAGAATATATCTTAGCGCACTAAACAATTATTAATGATTTTTCTATAAAAAAATATTAATGATTTAGTTAGTTGTTTTGTTTCAAATGATGTTCATTATCAAGAACCGTTTAGTATCAATAACTCGTGTTCCTGAGAGAGGATTAGTAATGAATCTTACACTATGTCATAAACAAATTTATTTGGGGTTTCTATTATTATATTAGGTAGGATAATTATAATTATGGTTAGTAGAGATTTAGTCGTATTAGGATTATTATTAGGATTTTTCAGTATTTCTCTATAAATATGTACTTTGGGTTTACGTCATAATCAATCAAGAACAATATTAAGAAAAATCTCATAAACCCTAGTTTATCCTCTCTACTCCTAATTTATATTCTCTCCTAATCCACGGCCTCGGCCGATTCCCAATCCTATTCTATTCTTTCTCATATAAATCCCTAATTCTTTCTCTCAACCCCTAAATCCCTATTCAATACGAGTAATCACGTGTGCCGAAAATCAGTCTCTAGAATCCCTAGAAGCGGGGTTCTTACAATTGATATCAGAGCTCGGTTGCAGGCACTCGTACTGGAACCATGTCGAGATTCGAAGAGCTCTCGATTAACGAACTGACAAAGATGTTGAAGTCAAAACTGGAAGCGGTGTGGAAGAACGAGGTAACCTCGTCATTGCCGCTGTCTGCGAACATCGCACGGACTGCTCCACCCAAAGCCACAACCGCCGCGCCTAAGGAGTCGATGAAGGAAGACCCACCGCCAGTGTCGAAGGCAGGAAGCTCGACTCCTAGCCGTTGGGTCGAAGACGCGCCGCCGGAGGAGAGCGTCGAACCTCCCTCCCAGCCTTCTTGAGATCGCGTCTCCGGCGAACGGGGTGAAGCGAGCATCGCCAAAGAAAGATCCGTCGAAGAGAAAGTCGCCGGAGAAGCTGGCGATGAAGATGGACATCGCAGCGGCAGGGAAGAGGGTGAAGGGTGACTCGTCGCGGGAGGATGGAACGGCAAAGAAGCCGGCAGACGATGAGCCGCCGTCGGAGGATGAGATGGAGAGAAAGGCGGCGGCGAAGTCGGGTCGGCCACCTGACCGTCGGAGTGATCGCGCGCTGCTGGAGGAGGAAGTGACGGAGAAGAAGATGAAGGAGGTCGGTGGTCGCTCCTCTCCTCTCGTGAGCGCCAGGTCGGCCATCTTGGGCCGAGCACAACATCAGCGACAACTTTCCCCTTTGGGCCGAGCGGATCAGGCTGCCGACGAGCTTGACAGGCCGACTCACCTCCATGGTGGGCTTGCAAGGACATGGCAGATTGTTGAGCTTGTTTTGGGCCAAGAAGATCTGCAAGAAATAATCTAGGCCGTTTGGGTCGACCCACTAATGAAAAAGGGCCAGGTTGAGTCTGATAGTGTGGTATGCGAGGAAGAAAAGAAGGTGGTTGGGCTAAGTTTTGGAGTAGTGGAAGGGAGAGGAGCTCGAGTTGGGTTCTCCTTGGGCCGAATTCCAATGGGTTGTCTTTTTGTATTTATTTTGCGGGGAGGTGACTTGAATAAAGGAAGTAGTGGGTTTGTATTTGACTCAAACCCACCTTGAAAAGGATGGAGCCCAAAAGAATTTAAGTTCACCACCAAGCCCATGGAAGAATTTATGGATCATTTCCTTGACGACCCTAAGATGGAGCATAAGGAGGAACAATATCCGATTCTTATTTCGTGAACTTTGAAAAAGAAGAGGAACAACTATTCGACTATCGAATAGTGACATGTGTCACGTGGGTGGAGAAGCATCTAGGAGGGTTGGAGTTGCACGAGAAGAGTTCCTTCGCGAATTGGAGCGCAATTGGAAACGAAGGAAGCGGAAGGTCAAAGAGGTAGAAGTCAACTACAACCTTGAGGTCAAAGTTGTTTTCAAGGGGGATGGATTGTCATAAACACATTTATTTGGGGTTTCTATTATTATATTAGGTAGGATGATTATAATTATGGTTAGTAGATATTTAGTCGTATTAGGATTATTATTAGGATTTTCCAGTATTTTCCTATAAATATGTACTTTGGGTTTACGTCATAATCAATCAAGAACAATATTAAGAAGAATTTCTTAAACCCTAGTTTATCCACTCAACTCCTAATTTCTATTCTCTCCTAATCCAAGGCCTCGACCGATTCCTAATTCTATTCTATTCTTTTTCATCTAAATCCCTAATTCTTTCTCTCAACCCTTAAATCCCTATTCAATACGAGTAATCGCGAGTGCCGAAAATCAGTCCCTAGAATCCTTAGAAGCGGGGTTCTCACACACTAAGCAATTCATGAGTTACTTAGACGTCCGCTTTCACGTGTTCTTTGTGATATGATCCCAAATGGTCCATTGTACACGTTTAAATTACTTTACGAAGAAGCTATCGAAGTTGGGAAGAAGAAAGGCAGAATTTGGCTAAGTCAAAATCCGTGTTCAGGGTACATACTTTGGAAGCTTGTATCTCACAAATGGCTCAATGGAAATTGGAGATCAAGGGTTTGTTTTGCAGATAAAGTTGCCATGTTTCCAATGGTATGCTTTGTGGATCCAGATGATGTCATTAAGGTTGTTTTCCAAGGCCTCAAAGTTGCTACCTCAAAACTGGAAAACTGCCAGAAAATGGCTAAGGCAGAAAACTGTTTTGTGAAGCCTACTTTGGAGCTCAATTCAAGGAGCATGGAGGGGATTCAAGTCAAAGGGCTTACACAACATGAAACTAGGTATGTTTGTGAACAAAGGGAAGGAATTGGATGAAGAATTGGAGTTCGGGAAGGCCTCGAACAAAAGGCGCGAAGTTAGTACGAAAGCTGCCTTTTGACTGTTGCTGGCAGATTACTTACCCTTGAAGAAAGGGAGTTTAAACCCGAGTTTTGTGTCCTTTTTAGTTTAGAATTTTACCTTAATTGTTTCCTAGTTATATTAGGATTGTATTAGGTTTTATTTGCCTTTAAATATCGTTCTATGTCGTTGTAAAATAGAGAGTTGATTGAACTGAATACAAACCGAGTGTTTGGAGTTCTTGAGTTGCGTCTCGAGAGTTTACCCATTGTCATTAGCTACGAGTGGATTCCTTAGCTAATTACAAGACCCTTGTGAAGCTATTCTGAGTGGATTCCAGAATCGTTTAACAAGTTCTCTTATCAATCGATTAATCACCTCGATTGTGGCGAGAATTCTACCTATCCATCATCTATCGTTCGATAGTGTGTGTGAGCTGCGTATTCTGATCAAAAGCACCCCCTGGTGCTTTATCACTTTGCCATGAACTGTTTATTATCAATAACTCGAGTCGTCGTGTTGGGAGAGGTATAATTAATCTCTTGTACCGTTTACTTGCATGCTCCCTCATAAGAAAGTCAACTTATACAGAATTGAAGTTTGCACAAATCTGAATACCGTGTGTTTAAGAAGTGATGGGATCGTCAAACTCAAACACAAAACTTTTCGATCAACTATTCTTCGTGCGATAATGTTCGATCTCGCTTATCGATTGTACCTAATTTAACCATTTTCCTTCCGAATCTGGGTGAGTCCCGAGACCCACCCTGTTATACTCTCTCTTCACCACTGAGTATAGGGCTCCCATCGGGAGGGGAGAGGGTGAAAGGGAGAGGCCAAGGGTTCGAGAGATTATACCCTCTGAAACTCGAAACTCCAGATTCTCATCGCGCTCATCAGTCTCCTCGGAGTTGTAATCGTCGACAACTGCAGCGTCGACGCCGAATTCCTCATCTTTGGACTCATCAGCACTGCGAGCCACCAAGATCTGTCCATCTTAATGGCGATCCTAAACCCCTTAAACACCGAGTGAGGAGAAAGGGAGAGAGGGAGGACGAAGGATGAATGGAATGACATAAGTAAAAGGAAGGGAAAAACAGAGAGAGATGAATCAGAAAGAGTTGCGATGACATACTAATGAAGACGGGAAACAATATACGAGGAGAAGGGAGGTGGTGGCAGAACCGGCAAGGAGGGGGTGATTCGACATCGGAAAGAGAAAGAGAGGGAGGAGACGCTGGTTCAGCCTTTACCGACCAGGGACGTGGCAGCGGGGTGGTTGCAGTGGTGGCGAGGACTAAAAGAATTTATTATTTAATAATTACAATAATGAAGTGAATTTTTTTTTAATTGCTACAACTACGAAAATTGACTGTCGTAAACAAAAGTTAACAAAAATCGACGGAGAATATTCATTGATGGAACGAGAGTATAAAATTAGTGACAAAAATATAATTTAGTGATCATCAAACATCATTTCTTAGTAATCCCCAATTCCCCATTACCAACATTGCAATTTATCCAAGATAAATATATATATACAAAAAACAGAGGTGGATTGTTTGTGGTCTGTGGTCCTGTGGAGCGCACAAAAAAACCGGGAAAAGTAAAAATTTGGAAATAGAACCAATTTCCAAAAACTTACCCTAGCATCCCTCCCTCTTCCTCACAATATACGAGAGCCGTCTCTTTCTACCGTTCCCGAAATCCAAACTCCAAACCCATCGACCGTCGCAAGGGATCGTCGTCGGAGCTCCAGAGTTGCAGGCCCGCTGCAAGGGCCTCTCCGTTGGGGCTCGCACTCTCGCGGCTGCGACTCTGTGATATCTCTGTTCTCCAGTCATCCTGCTGCCGTCCCTCCCAGCGCCGCCCACCTCTCCTCGTATTCTATCTGTCCAGGTAATAGATTGCTGCCCCGTCTTGATCCTCCTTCAATTCCTTCCCCTCTAGAGTCGTCACAGTCAGAACTATATATGAAAATCGTAGAATGCAAATGCGTTAGGTTTTCCATGTGACAAATGAACTACCATGGCTTCTCGGTTAGGTTAATCCTTGAAAGTTTCGGCAAATTGGGTGTTAGTTTTGGCTTTAAATTGCTCTTTACAGCTGTATTGAACTGTTAGTATTTCTGCCCTTCAGGGTGGAAGAATAGAGTGCAAGACTGATGGTTAGTTTTACCTGGAGAGACGCTCTGGTTGGCGGCGAGACTAAGCGCCCTGTTCTTTCTCTTGTGCGCACAAACTATGATAGTAAGTTTGACGAATGCAGATAACTATAGATTTATTAACTTTTTGTATCTGTTTGGTTCAGTATGGCTTAGCTAGGGGTTTCTGAAATGAGTTATTTTGCTTATCATCAGACACTTGTGTCTATCGGTCATTGTGCGACACACTCGATGCCCGAGTGAGACTAGCTACCGGCAAGACTAGTACTCCGTTCAGTGGCAGATTCTCGGCAAAGAAGCTTCGGGAAATGGAGCGGCTGCATTGGATGAAAGGGCCCAAACCTGTGCTGCAAGGGCTGTCTGATGCATTTTGTGACAACTGGAGATCCACTTCCCATCAGGCCCAAAGACTATCCGGTGCGATATAGACTGAAGAGTTGCGAGAGGATTTCAATGAAAGGTGGACCTGAAAATATCGCTAAATTGAAGGAAATACTGAAGAATCAAGGACCATTCATAGGTTCTTTCTATTTGCGTAAAGATTACACCAAGAAAACCGGTGTTCATTTCGCTGTTGGAGCCGATGGAGCGATAAATCGTGAGGAAATGCCACCGGCATCACAAGAACCTTATTATACTACATCCTCCCAGTCGCAAGCATCACAAGCAACTCCCACTGTGCAAGTGACTCCTACCGTGCAAAAGACTCCTACTGTGGAAGGGACTCCAGAACCGCCTACTTATACACACGTGGTGTGTGTTGTTGGGCATAAAAAGGAAGAAGGGATCGATTGTTTTGAAGTCCAAGAAAACCAGGGAGTGAATGCATGGAACGGTGGGTTCAGATTTGTTGCAGAGTCTGCCTTTATAGCTGCGTATGTGCCTGAGGTGGTAAGAGACTCGTGTACCCTTTAATCTTTATCTATTTCAACGTACCTAATTTGCATGCAAATGCAAGTGGAGTAAAGCAACATATGGGCAAGAAAGGTCACTTTCCTGGAGTTATTCTATTGCACTTGATCTGTTTTTTAGTGGAATTTCCCCCCCTTTTCTTTTTAAATTGTTCTGTCGCCACTGGGCAGTGGGTGCCTCAATTGCTGAGTTTTTTACTTTGGCCCCTTCCTGTCTCTCTCTTCTTCTTTCCCCACCACTCATTCCATAATGTTTATAACTTCCATTGGTATTCTTATCACAGGAAGAAATCCAGTCAAATGAAGTTGTGGACATCTCTAAATAGAATGGTAAGTTTATTTTTCATCGCACTTGGTGCTGAGCAGGACACTATTTTGTTCCTTCTTGTTTCCATTTGCATTTGGTTGACTTGATCAGGCTAGTTATAGATTTGTGGTACCATAGCATTTACTTGTATGCAGTGAGAGTGATTGGTGGCATAGCATTTATTAGGAAGTATCCAGAGCTCTTAACGTCTATGACAAACATTCATTTATATATTGATGTGTGTAGGGTACATAAATTATTTCCTGTACATATGCTTCTAGGCTACTTAATAGTTAATACTTCTGTGTAACTCCTAAATCTCAACTAGAAATACAGTAGCAGAAGCATACCTCTATTTTTCTGGTGGTGGATCTTAGAAAGTTTGAGTTGGCCTCAAAACATCCAATAGTCTGTTGACAAAAGAATCCCATAGTGTAATTTGGATACTGACCCTTATTTAGTTGCTATGCAATTCACTTCCGAGAGGGCACCTTTTGGTATATGGTGAATGGTGATCCCCTCTTCTGGGCTTTATCGTTACATGCATGTAAATCCTTTGCTGAAATCGAGGATTAGTTTAATGTTGCTTGATTAGTTTATTGATGCATTGCCACTTGAAAAGGGTAAAATTTTATAGTATTGACCTTAATCATAGCCGATGAGAATGATTACAAACACTCCATGTTATTTTCTCTTCCTCTCGTACTTCTCTCAAACTCATCCTCATCTCTCTCGTTTCATGCATTTTTTGAAGCTAGTATCACCATAAATGTTTCTTGCTTAGTTTTCTGTTGTGTGTTTCTCACTATTGCACAAATGGTTCATCATCTATTGCGGTGCTAGAACTGATGATTTCGGAAACTCGACTTGCTTAGTTAGATGTCATTCATTTAATGTGAAATTTTTGTTTAGTCCCTTTCTTAGTACTAAGATTCTGTATCAAACTTAGAATGATGCTCACCAAAGCCGAGTGATGCTTTCTTACTCGTCTCATTAAAATATTTTGTTTTTTTGCAGGTTGTTTTCCAAGGGATTAATTTTGTCATGTGTAGAGTTAACTTGAGAGAAGTTTTGGAATGCTACAAGATGAATATTTTGGGAAATGCTAGAATGCATTATTGGGAAACCTACCTTAACTACATTCTCTCCTTACTAGAAAACTATTGACTAGTAAATGCTCCATTAGTTCCTTAGTTCAGTGTGTTAATGTGGTGAAAATAGTTTGGAAAAATATGTTAAACAAGAATTTATTGGTACTTGTTGTCAGTAATGCTACTTACTTTATCTTTGTATGCCCAGAACAGAGATCATGATGTCATGTGTTGTAATTAGTGATGTCAAGTGGTTGGAAAAGCGCTTACCTCTTGTGGTTGAAGCTTAAGCACTCATGAATGCTATTTCAGAATGCAAACAATGAGGTTTGCATAAGTAGGGCTCGAAATGAGCCAATTTGCTTGCGAGGTGCTTAGTGTTTGATTTGAAAAAAAGCTCGTTCAACATTTGGCTTGTTTATGAATGAGTTGAACTTGAGTTAAAACATTATTTTGATTCGCAAGGCTCGTGAGCCAACTTGACTTGATGGCTTGTTGAGCTCAACTAGTGAGCTAACTTGTTTTTAGCTCTAAGATAGCTTGATAATATGCTTAGCGAGCAATCTCAACCAACAACTTATGAGTGAATTGATTATTAGATTACCATTGGTTTGTTGATAATCTATAGATTTGTTACATTATATATCTCATCATTTTAAGAATTTGAGCACATGTTCAAATATATCACATTTATAATATAATAATAGAGAAATCATGTATCATAAATTTCTCGTTTGCTAATTAGTACTAAATTACATTATATGGATAAGTAAAAATTATGATCTAAATGATATCATTCTTAAGTTCGAGTCAATTCGATCTTACGAACTAATAATAGATGGGCCGAGTTCGAGTGAACCTCGTGAGCTCATTAATAAGCAGAACTCTGGTCGCGTTCGTGTCAAATACAATCAAATGTTTACGTAAACCAACCAAGCTCGTTTCGTTTATGAACGAGTCAAGCTCAACCTGGATTAAAACTCTGCATGGCTCGGCGCAAGTAGGGTGTAAGTTTGACCCTAAAAACCCACTGACCCATCCCGTCCCTGAGGGCCGGGACGAGTCAGTTTGTCTGTAGGGTCAGTTTAGGGACGGGTCAGCTTTTGACCCTATAAGGGTTGGGAAGGGTCACTTTTAGACCCTGTGACCATTAGCAACAACAAATATCTCATACCACATTGGACCTCTTTGTAAAAGTTTTAAAAGTGCAGGTACTAAATTGCAAAAATAAAAAATTTTGGGTACCAAAATGTAATTTCACCATCAAAATTAAAGAACTTATTTGTAAAAACATAAAATTTAGGTACTAAATTGAAAGAAAAAATAATTTTGGGTACCAAAACGTAATTTGTAAAAAACAATATGTTGATTAGGGTCGACCCACTGATACGACCCGTCTCATCTCTTGAGGGTCAGAAAGGATAAAAAAAGAGGCAAAAACGGGATGGGTCAAGTTTGACCCTTCAAAAACGGGTCAAACATGATTGGATACGGAACAGGAACGGGTCAGAGTAATTCTCAGCGCGCAAGCGAAGCGGCCAGATTGAAGGGAAAGTAGAAGCGGGCTTCAGGCCTGGTCTGAAGATAAATTGAAGAAAAGAAAGGAACGGTTCGGTTCGGTGGCCCAAGTTGGAAAAGTGCTTACCTCTTGTGGTCGTAGCTTCCGCACATGAATACTATTTCAGAACGCAAACAACGAGGTCTGCGCAATTCCGAGAAGGCGGGCAAAAACCCTAGGAAAGGCGATGGAAGGCGAAGGTCCTCATTCAGCCAAAAAGCAAAAGGTTGATCCGGCGGTGGTATCTGATGTCAAGGAACAATCGGACACGACGACATCATCATCATCGCTTGAGCTGGCGGTGGAATCTGGAGAACCTGGAGAATGGCAACCACCGGATGTGAACCCGTGTCCACTGGATTTTGTGTGAGTACAATTTTAATTACATTGTTGATTTCTTGTTGTTGTTTTACTCAAACGCTTTAATGACTCCAAAGGATCAGAATTCGCTTGGTAGGAACTAGGAAGGTTTCATGAATCATGAATCGCTATCTGTGGCTTGCGTTGCTCTCTGTTACTTAATGAGACGGACGGACGTACTGTTGAATATATGTTGAAATGTGTTTAGATGGGTAGTCGATGCTTCGCTAGCTGATGGATTTGATGTTTTGCTGTTCATCATTTTGATTTTGATTATGTTGTTGTTGATTATGACTTCTGTATGTTATGATTAACTTCATGGCTATGGCTACTTTCACTGATAATGTACGCAAATTTGTGAAAATTGTACGGACGCAGCGAAGATATCTCTGAGCTTGACGAAGCTGAGAAAATCGAATGTCACCAAGCCATGATAGATGAAGCTCGCTCTGCTGCGAAATTGGCTCTGGAATCTTACAACAAGGCAGAGGTTGCATTTCTGGGCGCATGCAAATGCATTGGTTTCTTAGTGCAATTTGATGCCTCCATTCCCTGCAATTCATCGTTGAATGGTTACTTAATTGTTGTTTTCATATATTAACTGATGATTGTCTTATTTTGTCTTGGTATCTGTTTGATGATTGATCTGTTCTCAGGGCGTCGAATACGAGCTTGAGACACCATTGCTCAGCTTTTGTTTTCTTCTGGACCGTGTGTTTATCTGCCATGCCAACTTCACTGCTAAGAAGCGCGTCGTGATTGACAATGATAGTAGTGACTCCCCCACTGAAAGCATCCCTCCAAGGAGTCAGCTGTTTTTTGCTGAGACAGCCCAAGGCTTCGGGACCAACACTGTGGTTACTTGTTGTGACATCGTGGATACCTCTTCTGGATCTGGTAATTACTATTCGGGATCATTATCTTGGATTTTAGTTAATAATAACTAGGTTTTGCTGCTGGTGGTTTGTGGTTGAGCAGCTTGATTTCTTGCTTCAGTATGCATGCCTAAACAATACGGAATTTATTGAAGCGAGATAAGAGTCCTAAAGATAACAATGGATGATGATAATGGTTTTGTTGCCCTTAAAGCTGATGACGAGCAATGTTTTGCTCCATGGATGTAGGCGGTTTCCGTGATGGTTGTCTGTATTGTTGGCGAGGAGGCAATCCAGTTTTCTACCACCCTTGTGGGCAGAAGTTTAAGTATGGTTGGCAGTCTGCTTTCCAGTGATGAATGGTTGGACACCTTGATCAATATGACCAGTTAAGGACACTAATCCCGCCCAGTTCATCTCATCGACATCGATCCCTTGTCGAGATCTGATCCCAGTAGCAGTAGTAGTATTGTGGAGTGCATCTCTGTGTTCGTTTTCATGTGTGTGGAGAATTTTACCCAGTCTTAGAAGCAGGAAGCAGATTATCTGTTATGCATGCGTTTGCTATGCCTGTAGTTCATGTTCATAACTTGAGTATGAGGACTAGTAGGAAGTAGTAACTAGGGTTGCAAATGAGCCGAAATTAGCCGAGTTTTAGCCCAGGTTGAGCTTGACTCGTTAACAAATGAGTTGAGCTCGAGCCATCTATTAACGAGTCGAGTTCGAGTTGGAGCTAGGCTTGTTTACTAAATTTTTAGATCGTATTTGATACATTCATTTTGTATGTCGTGTATGGTACATGTGATTGATGTAACGATAAAAAACATAATCAAATGCTCAACATTAATTAATCTTATATTATAATTTGTAGGTGTCATATTGTTTTGTTAATGAATTTTAACTAGTTCAAATCATGTTATTTCATAGTATCGAAACAATTTTGTACATAATTTCTTTATAGAATTAAAAATAAGGTATATTTTCTTACATGTTCAACATGTTAAACTTCACATGATGTGAGATATATAATTTAACAATCCTATTAATTATGAAAGTCCAAATTAGATCGATTCGTCCATAAGTCAGTGATCAAGTTGGCACTCAAACCACAATGTTGAGACATCTCATGAGCTCTAAATGAGCCAACTCACGAGTTGAGCTCAACAAGCCACTGAGTCTAGCTAGCTCGCGAGCTAAACAAAGCTAAGCTTAAGCTTGGCTCGTTAGTAGACGAGTCGAGTTTCGAACGAGTTTTTCCCAATTCGAGCCTCAAGTTGCTCGCGAGTAACTCGGCTCATTTACAGTCCTAATACTAATCGTTTGACTTCAAATGAAAGTAAAGGCAATCGTAATGTTGTGAAGTGTGAAAACATGCAATGTTGTGGTTGAGTCTGGCTTGGTTGAATGCGCCATGCAGAGAGAATGGTTTAGTTTGGCCATGCCTAGTTTTACTTTTCGAGGAAAAAAAAATAGTTGAGTGGTTGGTTGAAAAACTATTAGAAGTGTTTTTTAATATAAGAGGTCGATGTAAAATAACAAAAGAATCTTATAATATAAAATTTTAATAAAAAGTCTAAAAAAATAATCAAAATGGATATAGTTTAGATTTTTTTATTAAATAATAATTTTTAACATGATAGTAATGAAATAAAATTATATTTTTCGGAGATAAAATTGAAATATGTTAAGGACAATATTGTATTTTTAAAACAATTTTGCTTTTTATGTTATATAAAAACACTTTTCAGCTTTTTAAAAACCGAAGTATTAAAGGTGTTAGGCCCTCCTTTGGCAGGTAAAGCAAAAAGACACTTCTAATGATGAGGCCAAACATAGGCAATGGGGGAAAAGTTAATATGCTAACTTGAAGATTCGTTAGCAGATACTAACTGATATCCAAAATACATAAACTAGTATCCAAGTATTAAAGTATCTAGAGATCATAGACTAGTATTCAAGGTTTGCTAACTGATATCCACCACGAATCAACTATTATCTCAAATTCACAAACTAATATCTAAACAACAAAGAATAGTATCCATACAACACATAATTAGTATCCACATAACACATAAAAGTATCTAGATAGCACATAAGAGTATCCATATTGAATACTAGTTGGTTGATTGTGGATATTAGTTGGTATCTGCTATCTGGATACTAGTTTGTGATGTTTTGAATACTAGTCTGTGCTATCTAGATAAGTTAGTAAAATCAGAAGACTTGGATACATGTTCATACATTTTAGATATTAGTTAGTATATACTAACAACTTATGCAGTTAGCAGAATAACTAGGTTGAGGCAATGGCTTCTCTCCTGGTTTTGATATTTTATAATCCTCTTCTTGGGGCAATGCATTGATATATTATGCTTTCCTCTAGTGTAGACTTAAGTATCCATATGAACACAAACAGCTAGAGAAGTGTTAGTATTAGGTATATGACAAAAAATGAGAGGGTTTAGATTGGAAATTATCTACGGAGGAACAAGTCATTTGTAAATTACTCAACGCTGATGGATCTTCACCAACATGATGATTAAGAGTGGGTTTGGAAGCTAATCTGTTAAGTATATTTAATACTAGTCAGGGATCTTTATCAGCATCTGAATTAATGACTTGGTTTTGCTGCTGCTGGTTTGAGGTTGAGCATAATTCTGAATTCATCTGTGATGTTTTTATGGCCCTTAAAGCTGATGATAAATGTGATTATGTTGCTGCACTGATGCAGATGGTGTTCGTGACAGTTTTCTGTACCGTTGGAGTAAATCCATTTTGCAACCACCATGAGGCCATGGGGTATTAGTTAACCTTATATATCAATACTTTCTTTTTTTTATTTTTAATAATAATTTTATGTTAACTACTTTCTTCGCAAATTGTAATTGTTACTAAGAGCATCTCCATCGGCTACCGTTTTGCACTTTCATCATGACGTGGATGTGATCTTGCAATTGTAAAAATGAATTTTACTAATGTGTGAAGTAGTTGCAACTATGCAAGCTTTCATATAGTGAAAGCCCAATGCAATTCAATGTGGCTGGCTAGTGGGGCTTGGTTACATTTTTTTTTTAATTTTTTTAATGTTTTTTAAATAGCATAAAATATATTTTAGGTGTGTTATATATTTATTGCAATTGCAAATGAATTTGATGAGTTGTTTGCCCTTGGGAGGCTATTATTTGGAAGTTCGGTTCGACGGCGATGTGAAAGTCATTATTGACAAAGTTAATCAAGCGGACACAAGCGACAACTGGTTGGGGGCAGTCCTGAAAGAGATATGTCAGTATTTTCGTGCCCATCCTGGGTTTAGTGTGCGGTTTATAAGTCGGGGAGAACAATATGGTAGCTCACTCGCGGTAGCTAGAAAAGCCTTCTCTTTGTATCCGGCTGATTGTCGCTTCTTTGATTTCTGGGCCTGACTGATTTCCAGGATGTAACTATCTATTTGTTTGGATTAATATATATTATCTTCTCACAAAAAAAAAGATGTAGGTACAATTAAATTGAAATGAGTTGGATTGCGTAATTCTTGATGACAAAAAGAATTGCAATTGATTTTGCAATTGCATTGATGTGGATGCTCCAATTATTTCATTTCACAACCAAATATAACCTATATCTGAAACCGATAACTAGTACCCATTATTTTACTAGAACTAACTTTAAAAGTATTAATGGAGTTATGGAGATACTTGGATAGTATCATTTGAAAATAATTGAAAAGTATTTGTATACGAAGGCAATACAGAGAAGATTCGTATTGAGTATATGAAAAATGAGATTAAACTTGGAAACCCTAATGAAGAGGGAACGAGTCATTTGATAATTGGATCATATATGCAAATAGCTTGTTTTTACTTTCAAGTCATTTCACTCATGCAAACCACCCAAAACAACTATTTTCCAGCTATTGTGACCCAATGAGCGCCCAAAGCTGAACTGTTCTCTCTGTCGACCGATGGAGAGCTAAGCTAGCACACTTAAAATGTAACACCCTAACCTGATAAGGTGCTACTTTTACCAAAATATCCTTGAAAAGTAATGAATATTAAAATGCTTTGAATAACAGCGGAAACCTCTTACATTTAACAATACTTAAAACCATCGGCGGATCCAGGGGAGGGCCACACTAGGCCCGGGCCCAGCCCTCCTCCTGGCATAAAGATTATACAACCTATAATTTCAGCCCTGTCACAATTTTAGGCCCGCCCTTTTCTTCTTTCCAAGCTCAAAACCCAACTCCTAAGTCCTAAATCCAAGCAACCAATCATGGTGGAGAGAACTATTAGCCGTCAACATTGTTCCTAAACTGATACCTCTCTAAGACAGTCTAACGAATCGTCCAACGGAATCTGGTTGGGTACTGCAAATTTTCTTGTTGCACTTCAGTCCAAAATGAAAATCGAAACAGAACAATCACCACAGTAACTGATCGATGGAACAACTCCTTGAATTGGTTGGTATTTCTTAATGTTCAACTACAAGAACATTTCTTACAACCTATGAACTCTCTTCTAGCTATTAAAATATTCCAAATTGATTAATATTGCATACGCTTAACGTACGCTATAAGCCTGTGTTCACACTTGTTATTAGTTTTTTATATATTACGATGAATCAGAAATGTCGGTTATTATTATTTTTAGATTAAATGAATTTTATGCTTCGGCTTAGAGAATTAGGGACGAGGTTCACCCATTAGAGGTTAGAGTATAGTGTCATCCCCCAAACTTTGGTTAATTCTTGGTTAAAATAGTAAAACTCGACGGGCGTACGTTAGCGTGAATAGGTAGAGTTTGTCGTGTTATTTGGTGAATTCTAATAAGAATTTGGAAGTTAATTAGAAATTTGAGAGTATATAATTATTGTGCTATTTGATTATGCATATTTGAAGATATTTCATCATGGTATCTTCTCAAATACCAAATAAAAATGCGAAAACAATATTATTTTCTTACTATAATTGACATTTTAATGAAAACTATAGTTATTATATTTTTTGTTTATGGTATCTATTTTTTTATTCAAATGCGGCCCAGTGTTCTACTATATCCTGGATCCGCCGCTGCTTAAAACATTAACAACCTTGAGATATTAGTTTTAATAAATCTTCATCGTAAAATCACATCAAGTCTCTCGTCCCACTAAAGTACCGAACTTAACTTCTTCCTTCTGGAGCGCTCTGGAGTCAATGATGAATTGCTGAATCCATATGCGTGCTTATGTGCTTTTATGATTCCTGAATGCGGGCGTTGGGGTCAGTCCTAATCCTAATTCCATTCTTGACATAATATAGAAAATGAAGCAAAATGCAAATGGTTGCAAATGTTCATGCATAAAATATTTACTGGACTTGTAAATGATTTTCTTGAAATAGACATTCTTTACGAAATGGG